AGGTGCGGTTTATATTGTCCATGTTACAGACAAGAAAATGAGGCTCAGAGAGGACAAAAATATCACTGCTGTAGATCCCACTTGGGGCAGAGTGGAGATTTAAACCCTACTCTGGTTGACCTCATACCCCCCCCTCCCCCCCCCGCCCCCGCATCTGGATCTCCCTGCCTTCCTGCAGGCTAAGAGTCCCCATTAGACCGGTGTGGCAGCTGAGGCTCGGTTTGTAGTGGTTCTTGCTTCTGGGAATGAGGAGAATCAGGAGCTGAGGGATAGAACTGGCAGTGGAGCCTCCCAGACAGGTACTTAGAGTAGTTGCACACGTCTCTTGAGCGAGATAGTGAGATTAGTCCACAGTTAAAAACCAGGAAGCCTGGGCTTGAACTCTGTTTCTGCACTAACTTGTGTGGCTTTGGGCCAATGTTCACCATTTAAGTCTGAATCACCCCAAAGTTGGGTGGCCCCGTTTAATTACTCTGTCCTGGGTCCCTGAGCTTGTGCCATCTCTCTCCTGCCAGGGCAGGTTGTGGTAAGGTAGTCATTTCTTCATTTGTGCATTCATTCATTTAACAATGTTTGCTAAGGACCTATAAGGACCTATTGTGGGCTGAAGCTCTGAGACAGAGACAAAAAAACACTTCATCCCTGCCCACCAGGAGCTCATGGTTTGGTGAGAACACTGACATGTATGTGGTTAGAACACTGTGGTTATCACATCAGTGGGGGAATGTACAGATGTAGGGAGCACTGGGTGGGAAGGTGATGCAGGGAGCATCAGACAAGGAGATTGTAACTGTGCTGGGGGCACTTGGGTTTCCTCTGGACCAAGACTTGAAGAGCGAGGAGGAATTTTCCAGGCAAACAAACATTTGGAGGGAGAGGCAGGAGAGAGGGGGAGTGGATGTGTGTGTGTGTGTGTGTGTGTGTGTGTCTGTGTTCAGGGGGGAGTGGGGTACAGAGAATAGGAAAGGAAGTGTTTCAGACATGGCAGAGAACAACATGTGCAGTCCCACCAAGGTGCAGAGGACCTGCTCATTCTGGGAATTCTCAGAAGTCCAGCATTGTGGACCCTAGCATGTAAAATGTGTGTGTAGGATGACGGAGGACAGCAGGCAGGGGCAGATTATGATGGATGCAGACTGCTTGGAACAGGAATGCAGAGTTGATCTATTAGCACGGGGGAAGTGTTGAAGAACCTTGAGCAGGGGAGTGATCTGATCACTGGGTTGAGGGAACTAGAAGTGGAGTCCCAGAGGCCAGGAAACCTGTAAGCGGGCTGTGAGGTGCCCAGGCCACAGGGCAAGGCACTGGTGGTAGGTGAGGTCTTCTGTTTGTCCACTCACTCTCCCAAGGATAAAGTGCCTGAGTTAGGTACAGGGGTAGGGTAGGAGAACTCAGCATAGGGATGCCGAAAGGCCAGTGTCTAGAGCAGTGGTTCTCAACCTGTGGGTCGCGACCCCTTTGGCGGTCGAACGACCCTTTCCCAGGGGTCGCCTAAGACCACCCTGCATATCAGATATTTACATTACGGTTCATAACAGTAGCAACATGACAGTTATGAAGTAGCAACGAAAATAATTTTATGGTTGGGTCACAACATGAGGAACTGTATTTAAAGGGCCAGAAGGTTGAGAACCACTGGTCTAGAGGAAGATGGGCTTATCCATGGCCTCATTTCTAGTGTGGAGGAGAGAATCCCAGTGGGAAACACTGAGAAAGAACTTCAGCTCCCTGAGCCTCCATTTCTTTATCTGTGAAATGGGGACGGTAATTATGATAGTAATAATTCTTGATCCCTGAATTAAGATGGCAGAATAACTGAAATGGCAATTATTCCAAGCCCCCTGCCCTTCTACTGAAGGATAGCTAACTAGGGATAAATGGGGTGTTCTGGGTACTTTACTTAACAGTTAATCCTTATAGCATCCCCATGAGAACACAGCATTATCCCATTTAACAGGGTGAAGTTGAGGCACAGAGAGGTTAAGTACCTTGCTTAAGTAACACAGTGTTTGAATCACAATGCCACACAAGCTACTACATGCATTTAGCAACAAATTCCACCAAAGGTCCCTCCTCTACTTCAGGGCTCAGATGAACTCCTGCCGGCAAAAGGGCTCCTAAAAACGGCCAAGTGCTCTGGGAACGTGAGCCACGGGTGTACACCCACACCCACGAACCCCAAACCAGGTTCTTAAGCCAGAAAGACCCATTTACAGGAGGGGGCATTTAGGGGGCACACGCTAGGAGTGCACCTCTTCTTCCTGTGTGGCCTTGAGCAAGTCGGCTCACCTCTCTGCGCCTCTATTTTCTCATTAGTAAAATGGGGGCAAGGGCACTGTCTGTCAAGCCTGTAGTGAGGGTGAAAGTCGATTTCATTGGTGACAAGCGGGGCTCCGGGGGTGGGACGCTAAGTTGTTAGTGTTGGGGGCTTGGCCCACGCGCCCAGCAAACCGGGGGGCCGACGGCTCGCGGCTGGGGCGGGGAGCGGTAGCCGAGGCGACGCGGGGCCACACCCCGCACCGCCGCGCGGTAGCCCGCGAAGTCACCTGCTGGCTGGACGGCTCCTTCCGCCCCGCGCGCCCGCGGCCGAGCGCGGCCCGCCCTCCCTTCTCCCCGCCCTCATCCGTCCCGGCCGCCCCGCCCCCGGGCGCCCGTCCCGTCGCGCAGGCCCCGTCCCCTGGCCCGTCCCACGCTCCCATTGGTTGGCCTGCGGCCCAGCCGCTGTTTGTCCCGGCTTCCCCGCCGCCCATTGGCGCGCCCGGGTCCTCCCAGGAAGTTTGAAAAAAAAAAAAAAGTTTTATGGGCGGATGGAAGGGGCCGGAGCCGCGCGGGCGAAGGGAAGGGCCGGAGGAGCGGCTCCGGGCGGCCGAGAGGGGCGGCGGCAGCGGGATTCCCGCGCCGCGGAGCCCGGCCTGCGCGCCCCGTCCACCTTCCTGCCTCCTGCCCTCGCCGCCCCCGGGCGCCGCCATGACGGTGAGTGCCCCCCAGCGCCCCTCCGCGCCCAGGCGGGTGAGCGACTGCCCGAGCCGGCCGCTCCTCCCGGGCAGCGCGGTCCTCACTCCCGGTGGCCGGAGGAGTCTCCGCCGGAGGCCGGCCGACCTGCCTCACCTTTCCAGGCCGGGAGCCCGGGCGAACCCGGGGATCTGGGAACGTCCCGGCACGGGCACCCGCCTCCTCACTTGCGGGACCGGCCTCCGACCGACTCGGGTGGTCCTTGACCACCGCCGTCCCGCTCCCTTAGTGGAGACCTGACCGGATCCCTCCAAACTGCGGGATCCGTAGGGGCTCCCCGGGCGCCGGGCCAGGGCTGGGGTCTCGCCCGGGGCTGGAGAGAGGGTCCCCCCGGCTCGGGTGGGTCTCGTTGGCCCGGGCCGGGGAAGACTGCCCACCCGTGGGGGCCGGCGGAGGCTGGGTGGGTGCGAAGGGGTCCCACCCTGCCGGAGCCCATCCTGGGGTCGAAGCGGCCGAGACCACGTCCTCCCGGGCTGGCCCCTTCGCAGCGGGGCTTGGGTGGGGCAGTGCCGCGGGTGGGGTGGGGGACGCGATGGCTGGGATTTGTCTTTCTCTCGGGGTGAGCCCTACCCTAGTTCCATCAATGCCTGTGCCTTCATAGTAGGCCTCGCAGCTGAGTTCACCATTATCCCCATTTCACAGTCTGATAAACTGAGGCGTGGGGGAGCGGCCTTGGCGAGTTGCCCGAGGTCACCCTGAGTGTCAGGGAAGCAGCAGCCCCTTTCCAGGCCCGCCTGCCCGGTGGTGGTCTGGAAGGGCAGGGCAGGGCAGGGCAGGGCAGGGCAGAGCTGCTTTTGGTTTCTGACTAGTGTCTCAGGGAGGCTCTGACAGCTGGTGAGGAGAGGGTGTTAGGCAGGATGTGTATGTGCGTGTGCCTGTCCCCTTTCCACAGCCAGCGAAGTGGGCTGGGCTGCTGGGGAGCAGGGTGGTGGCTGGGGAGAGGGGCCCCTGCTCCCTGTAAGTGTGATGACCTGGCCACTGCCTGGACTTCCTCAGCCTCCACACATCCTGCCACCTCCCTGCTGGCCCTTCCTGTCGTCAGCAGCCTCCCCTGCCCTGTCAGAGAGCAAAGAGGGATGTGGGGGAGGAGCTGCGTCAGTGTCCTGCCCGGCCCCCCAGGCCAGGGGAGGGTAGTCCCTTTGCCCACTGGTTGCCTGCCAGGCCCTGAACTGGCTGCTTTCACGTTACCAGAGTTGACCCTCTAAGGTGGATGGCAAGTGCCCGTCGAGCAGGTGAGGACGTGGAGGTGTAGAGAGGTGACACGGGCCCTGCTGAGGCCGAATCGGTATCCAAGGGCTATCCTGGTTTCTCTCCGGAGATAAGAAATGTACACAGTTGCCTCTCCTGGAGGAGCACATGCTCAGCAGGGCCAGGCTGCTGGGAGCAGCATGGGGGCTGCGGGAGGAGGGACAGCCTGCCCTGCGCTGGGAGCAGCATGGGGGCCGCGGGAGGAGGGACAGCCTTCCTGTGATTGTAGGACCGTGTCAGGAGGAGATGGACGGGGGAGGGAACGCTGTGGACAAAGGCTGGTGGTCACCTTTGGGGGCTGGAAACGTGGAAGAGGGGTCCGGAAGGAGAGGGGTCCGGAAGGAGAGGGGCCCAAAGGCCGGGAAAAGTAGCTTAGGCTTTTGGTCAAGGTTCCCGAGGGACCACGAAAGGCTCTGAAGCAGGGAGGAGGAGGAGGAGGAGGAGGAGGAGCACCTCGGACAGTGTTGGCTGGTTTCATCCCAGCTGCCTGCGGACCTGAGCCTGCTCCAGGCTGGTCCCATCTCCCTGACCCCAGGGATCTGTATGGATCAACCGGTAAAGGTGCATTGAATGGGTCAAGGTTGAGGCTGGAAGCCGGGCCTGGAGTCAGGGTTTGCTCCACCTCCTGCCTTCGCAGGCCTTGCCCTGGAGCCTCATTCCCCAGCCACTGCCTGGCATCAAATTATATACCTGTTCACTTGTTTATTGTCTGTCTCCTGACTTCCACCAAGACAGGGGCCACAGCTTTCATTCACAGCTGACTTCCTGGTCCTGAACAGTGCCTGATAGTTAAAAAAAGAAAAGGGAAGATTCCACAAACATTCCCTGGGTCCTGGGGGTGTGAATGCGCATGTCCCTGCCTGTGAGTCTGTGAGGGACAAGTAAATGTCTTCAAGATAATCATGGGCAACAGAGGCTGTGGGAGGGCCGTGGCGGGGGGTGGTGGTGGTGTGTGACAGGGCCTCGGAGGAGGAGGTTAAAGCACGAGGAGGGGTTTGCTTGGTGTTCAAGCAGAGGACACAGGCGTGTGGAGGGCCTGAGTCCTGGTGCGTTGGGGATCAATGAGGATGTGTGGAGACATAAACACGGGGCCCCAACTCAGGGGGAAGGCTGGGCTGGAAGGGTGGGGCTGACCTCTTGTGCCATCCTAAGGCAGCTGGGTTTTGTTTTTATTATTTGTTTATTTTTTCCATTTTTAAATCATTTTTATTTTTCAATTACAGTTGACATACATTATTATATTAGCTTCAGGTGTACTGGACTTTGTTCTGAAGCCACCTGAAGCCATCCCTGGAGGCTTTGAGCAGACTTGTAACACTGGGCCTTTTTGAGTGAGTCCCTCTGCCAGAGTGCACCTAGAGCAGTGACGGCAAACCTTTTGAGCTCGGCGTGTCAGCATTTTGAAAAACCCTAACTTAACTCTGGTGCCGTGTCACATATAGAAATTTTTTGATATTTGCAACCATAGTAAAACAAATTATATTTTTGATATTTATTTTATATATTTAAATGCCATTTAACAAAGAAAAATCAACCAAAAAGATGAGTTCGCGTGTCATCTCTGACACGCGTGTCATAGGTTCGCCATCACTGACCTAGAGGGAGGAGGCCATGTCGAAGGTCCTGAGGCCCAGGAGGGCGGGAACAGTGCAGACCTGTGGCCAAAGGGAGGAGGGTGGGCTGGGTTGGGAGAGCCTGCTGGTGCTCCTTAGGGAGAAGGAGAAAGTGAGCTTCCTGCAGGTGGAGGGGAGGTGGCTGGGGCTGAAGAGCCGTGTGTGAAGGTGCCGTGTGAGAGATTTAGGTTATCAGACCTATTGATCCTGCGTGGGGGGTGGGAGTTCCCAACTGACCGTAGGACCTCCCCTGCCAACAGTTTGAAACCTCACATTGGTGGCCTCCTCTCTCCATGCCTGAGGGGGTGTGCGCCGTGTTAGTACCGGCTTCCAGAGGGTCACTGGGCTTTTCCCTGGGTGGCACATTCAGTCCTCATAAAACTTGAGGGAGGTCAGGACTCCCCCCGTCATTTGCTACATTAGGCAGCTGGACTCAGAGAGGGCATGTGACTTAGGAAGGTCACTGTGACCCCACTTCCCAGGCAGCCCTTGGGGTCCCAGCCTGTCATTCCTGCTAGGGAGCCCTTCTTCATCTTCTGGAAGTTGAGGCTGATCTGCTGTGTGCCATCCCTAACTCCTCAGGGCCAGGGAGTGGGGTTGGGGCCTGTCTCCAAAGCATAGAAATGTATTTACTTTTTTTAAAATATATTTTTATTGATTTCAGAGAGGAAGGGAGAGGGAAAGAGAAATAGAAACATCAATGATGAGAGAGAATCATCGATTGGCTGCCTCCTGCATGCCCCCCACTGGGGATCGAACCCACAACCTGGGCACATGCCCTGACCAGGAATCGAACCGGCGACCTCTTGGTTCCTGGGTCGACGCTCAACCGCTGAGCTACACCCGGCTTGGCCAAAGCACAGAAGTTTAGATGGGGTAGAGGAGGGTGGGTATTATTCAGCAGGTTTTCCCTGGGGCCACGGGAGGTCCAGACTCAATGCAGGTGAACCCAAGTGACCCGGTGGTCTTGAGCGGGCTACCACTTCATTCGGTCTTGGTTTGGGACGCCTGTACCTTTGGGGAAGAGGGTGGGAGAAATGGAGAGCAGATAGGGTGAACACCACCCCGAGTTTTCAGGTCTGAGCAGAGCCTGTGTCCCTTCCCTCTGACAGGTATGCAGGGAGGGGCTGCAGCGCAGGGGTGGGGCTGCCAGCCTGCTGAGATGGGGCCCTGGTCCCACGGCCATGGCTGTGGATGTCTCTGAATGTCCAGGCTGCTGCCCCAACCTCCTCTCAGGCCACTTCTTCCAGCTGAGGAAGAGGAGAAGGGGGCTCCCTAGGAGGAAGGCAGGTCAGGGGAGGTGGCCAGGTCAGGTGGCTCTGGTTTCCAGGTTTCCAGCTGCCATCCTCACCGCCCACCCCACTGAGCCATGCCACCCGCTCCCTTCACGCAACCAGACACCTTGGCCTGGTGAGGCTTCGATGCAGGCGCTGATAGGTGGGCTCAGAGCCATGGCAACAGGTGGACGCCTCTTCCCTGCCCGCCAGCCTGGCCCGCCCTGCTCCGCCAGTGGGCAGGAGCTGAGACTGCAGAGGGACCGCGGCTTAGACTTAGACAGGAGAGGTCTCAACAGGCAGGAGGGTCTGGTATTGGGCACCCACCAGATGGACCTGACCAGAGAAAATGCCAGAATGAGCAGCTTCGTTGTCTAGGCCTAGGTGGGGACTCATAGCTCACAGACCCCTGTGGAGCATGCTGCAGCTGGGAGCCCCCAGGCCCCGGGGCCGCGTCCCCCTGGGCAGCACCCGGCAGGTAGGCCTTGCCAGGACCGGCCCATCCAGAGATCTAGAGGGAACCAGAGGGTCTCTGACCCCAGCCTGTGCTTGGTTCCATCTTTCAGGGTCTCCAGGAGATGAGGGCAGGCAGGGCTGGTTGGGCCACAGGAGAGTCAGTGGGTTGGAGGTGGGTGGCAGCAATAAGGCATTTTCCTGGTGGGCCGCCTGGGCCTTGTCAGAGAGAGGAACTGGACAGCTCACTCGCCCTGCTGGTCCGGCTTGTTCTCTGCAGGCAGCATTCTCTTGCCCCCCTCCCCCCCCCTCCCACTCTTGGGTGAGGAAGTAGGCTGGTGGGAGGGAAGCTTGAACATCTTTGGTGGATGACCCAGTTGCCTGGCAATCAGAGATTACTGGATGTCAGGGAAAGGGGCCAAGACTGCATTAGTGGCTGGGGAGTCTGCCTCGATTTGGGGTGTTACCTGGGCCCTCAGCCCTCTCTCCTGGCTTCTCAGGCCCTTAGTGTTACAGGATTCAAGGCCAAGAGGGTACAGCACCCCCTCCTCCCCAGCCCCATTGGATTCTCCATGGGCCTGACTCATCTGCCTCCTCCTCTCCCCATAGCCCGATCTGCTCAACTTCAAGAAGGGATGGATGTCGATCTTGGACGAGCCTGGAGAGGTAGGAGGGCTGGAGTGGAGAGGAGGGGGGTGGCTGGGGCAGCCCAGGAGGCTGAGCTGCTTCCCTCGCCTGTCCAGCCTTCTAGAGACCATGGCTTCCAGGTGGCGGGGGTCCAGGGTGGGGGCCAGAAGTGGGAACTCTGAGGGCAGGGTGTTTCTTGTCCAGCCTTGGACTATGGGGTGGGAGGGTGGAGGCTTCCTGGAGCAGTCTAGTGTGTAAGAGTCACCATGGAAGGGGCGGGGGCCGCCTCCTAGCCCCTCAGGCTCTGTACCCCATCCCCTCCTCTCACCAAGAACCTCTTGGTCCTCCCACCTCTTGATGACCTCCTGGGTATCCGACGGTCTGGGGCGGAAGGGCTCAGAGGTCTTCGGGCCTGAGACGCACAGATTTGTAACAACTCGGTCGTGTAGCAGCCTCTCCTCCCCCACCCTGCAGATGATGCTCAGAGCACATCTGAAGTCTCACCAACCTGGGGCCCCATTGGTCATATCACAGCTTTCCCTGGCCTCGGTGGCCACATCTGTGAGATGGGCATAGTGGATGATGATGATTCCTTCCAGGGTTGATAGGCACAGATGTCAAGCAGGTAAAGGGTCTCACATAGCCCCCAGTATCTGCTAGGGCCTCAGTAATCACCCTTCCCTTTCTCTAATGTGTCTGTCCTTAGACCCAGAAGGGACAGTGGCCTCTTATGGGTTCTGCCCTTTCGGCTGCCATGCTGGAGCTGGAGCTGGCTTTCTGCCCACCCACCTTGGGAGGGAACGTCTCCCCGCCCCTGCCCTGCATGCGCTCGTGGCTTTGGTCTGTGTGCAGCCCGCATGCCGGGAGGGCTGGGAGCCAAGGGAATTGCATTGTGTTTCCTACCCACATGCTTTATCCCCTCCAACCCACAGCCTTCCGTACCCGCTGCCTGCTCGCCGGTCCTCTGGTGGCTGCGCTCCAGCCTCACACAAGGCCTGGCACCTTGCCAGTGACCCGTCCTGGCCTCCCACCCAGGGTCTCTGGAGGGCAGAGATTATGGGCCCCACCCAGCACTGGCCGTTACTCATTCTCTTTCCCGAGGTTTTGGAATGTCCGAGCTGGAAGGGCCCTGGGAGTTCAGCCAGCACAGCCCCTTGGTGCACAGACAGGAGACGGGCCCACAAGGGCTTCGATCTCTTCCAGGCCTAGCAGTACCTTGGGCAGACACAGGCCTGGAACTCGGGGCACCGGAGGCCCACAGAGCTCCATCTCGCTCCCATCTTAGACAGTCATAGACCGGGCCAAGGACATCATTTGGCACAGAACCCCTGCCCCACTTTACAGAGGGACAGTTGAGGTCTTGAGCTGCAATTCAGGCCACTCAGTAAGAGCAGGTAGTTCTAAGAGGGCCAGCCTTTTAGAGCAATCCCCAACAATGCAGTACCCACCCTGGGCCAGGTGCCCTGAGAGACATACAAGGGAGGGTTAGGAACTTCTAACCTTACAAGAGGCTTAGGCATTTCTTATTAGCCCTACTTTACAAATCTGAAGACTGAAGCTCAGAGAGGTCAAGATACTTAACTAAAGACACACAGCTAGGAAGGGATAAAATAGTTGTCTCTTGAATGCTAAGGAGAGGCAGTGTGGAAAGAAGTAGAAAATGTCTTTCTGGCACATCCTTGAAAATGTACCATCTTCTTAAGGAAAAAAAAGAACCCTAAGTACTTGAAATAGCAAACAGGGTGGATAGGGCTTGGTGATGTGTGGGAATCCAAGGAGATGTGGGGACTGCTCTGACCCTGGCAGTGGGTGGACCTGAACTAGCATTCCAGCAAATGGCCAGAAGCCAGAGGAGGGCCAAGCTTGGCCCCTTTCATATCAGGCTGTACTGGGCCCCCACCCCTTTCCTCTGATGTGTTCTAACCTCACCCCAGCTGGAGCAGAGAGAAAGGCGCTGCAGAAAGGTGCCCAAATCCTAAATATTCAGATAATGCGTCTCACAAGGTGAACACACATGTAACCAGCACCCAGATCAAGAAACAGAATACGACCAGATGCCTCCCCCTGGGCCACCTTCCAGTCCTGCTCTCTGGGAGTCCTGTCCCTGGCGACTGAGGAGATCCCGAGGGGCATATGCAAAATAACTGGAAGTTCTGGTCCCTGGCTAGCTAGGCAGATGACCTTACACAGGTCGCAACCCCTACCTGGTCTACCCTGGGGGGATTTGCTTGTAGGCGCCTCAGCAATCTTGGTGGAGAGGATCAGGATGGGTATGGAAGTGTTCACAAAGCAGAGAAGCGCTCCCAGAAGGAAAGGGGGGGGTGGTTCCGGATGAGAGGTCGACCCATTTCATAGATGCTGCCCCTGCAGCTCAGAGAGGAATGGGAGGGCCAGGCATCAAATGTGGATTTTCTGACTGCCCTGTCCTCTGCCCCTACCCCTCAGCGGGCTGGATGAGGGTGCTAGGCCCCTACTTGAGCAGAATGGTTGACCTGGCAGCACCCAGGGTGCAGCAAAGTGGCACACGCATATTCTTTCATTCCACACTGGCCCCCCCTTACACCACCTCCTTCACAGTGGAAGAAGCATTGGTTTGTGCTGACTGATTCCAGCCTCAAGTACTACAGGGACTCCACCGCCGAGGAGGTGAGACACCAGGTGCTGGGGGCCCCTGGAAGGGGCTTGGGGGCGTGGGGGGGTCACTGGAGTATATGAACCATCGTCTTCCTGCTGTAGGCAGATGAGCTGGATGGCGAGATTGACCTGCGTTCCTGCACTGACGTCACCGAGTATGCAGTACAGCGCAACTACGGCTTCCAGATTCACGTGAGACTGTGCATCTGGGGGGTGGCATGACTGGAGAGCCCCCAGAGGAGATGTTGGTGTGGAGCATGCCTGGCTCTTGTCACTCATTTACCCAGAGACCCTGTCCTCAGAGCCAGTCAGAAGCTCTCCTGCCAACACAGCATATCTGGGGAGACCCCAGATATCGTTGGCCGGGTAATTCAAATATTGGGGAGACCTTGGAGCCACTGGGACTCTTCCAAGACTAGGCTAGTGAAGGGGAGGTATTGCACCCTCTGCTCAACACCAGGTTCAAGACCTTAGACTCTCTCTTGGGAGAGAAGGCCACCCTCCCTGGGGTCCACAGTGGGGTGGGAGCAATGGTGCTGGCCACGTGGCAACCCACCTGTGGGGTGGACTTGCAGACCAAGGATGCTGTCTATACCTTGTCGGCCATGACCTCGGGCATCCGGAGGAACTGGATCGAGGCTCTGAGGAAGACTGTGCGTCCCATCTCAGCCCCAGATGTCACCAAGTACGTGCTGGGTTGGACCAGGGCTTTGGGGAGGCACTTCCCCTGTATCCCTGAGTGCTGTGCTGGCACTCACCTGGGAGCCTCTGGCTGTACCTTCTGGGCCTCAGTTTCTCTATCAACAAAATGAGGAGAGGGCAGTGAGCATCTTGGCAGTCCTCCAGAAATACAGTGAGGATTTGGAGTGTGACTGCTGTCCCTCTACGTCCCCCACATCCTGAAAAGGTGGGGAGAGGCCTTAGCTCTTTGGAGGAGATGCCAGTGCGTCAAAGGCCCCACTAGTGGCTGATTGTCTGTGCTGTGTGGGCTGTGTCTCATCCTGTGTTAAGGAGAGGGGATGGCTAAGCAGTCTGGGAGAGCAACTCACTCCCAATGGAGGCCACCGTGGGTAGAGTAGAGGGAGGGCTCAGTTACCTGGTGGTAGAGCTCCCACACAGTATAAACCCCAGACACCTATGGGGGGCTAGGACTTGTGACTGCTGGGCAGCAGGAATGGAAACATGACATTGAGGGGTGTCAAGCGTGAGTCCCCCTGTCTGGCCATAGCCTGGCTGTTCAACCTCAGTCCAGTCACCTTGTCTGAGTTTCAGACACTTCATTTGTCAGACTGTCACGAGAATATGCATAGAAGCCCTTTGTGAACTGGAGCACAGTGCAGCTGGATTATTACTTAGTATATAGGCTTGGCTGCTGTAACAAAGAAGCCCCAAACACAGTGACTTTAAGCAGGAGAGGTTTATTTCTTTCTCCAGAGTAATCCTGTGGTGTGTAGTCCAGACCAGCTCTGTGGCCCTCAACTCATAGCTTTGCCTCTGACTCAGGAAACTGCTTACATTCTCCTGGAGTGCCAAACAGGAGCCAGGCCAGGGCACACCCAGTCCTTTAAAGGGTGCCACCTCTCACTTCCACTGGGCAGAATGTAGGTACATGGCCCTACATAGCAGCAAGGGATGCTGGGAAGTGTAGTTTTAGGATGGGTGACCATATACCATGTTATTGTTATAGAAGAAGAGTACTGCCAAAGTTGTTAAATCTTGTGCCTATGCACCCAGAGGTCACTGTTCACCTGTTGGGCAGTAACTATGGGCATCTCCCCTATTCCACTGTGAGTCTTTTAAACCCAGGATCTTATATCAAACCATACTTTTAATAATAATGCTTTGATCACTATTCTTAATGGGCTTCCTGGTTGCTTTACACACATTCGCCCACCTAGTCCTCATATTCATCCTGTGAGAAGCATTGTTGTCCCATATTACAGATGAGTGACTGAGCTCAGAGGGAAGCCAGATATTCTGGTCCCTCTGCTGGTCAGTCGTAGAGTTGGGATGGCTCCCAGGTGTGTTAATGGTGAAGCTCTAGTTCTGACTCTGGGTTCGGCTGCCTCCTCTGCTGGGGTTCATCCCCAGGCTCTGGCACATGGGGACGCTCCAGAAGTGCTTGTTTGGGGACTGAGTGGGCAAGATCCTGCCTGATGTGGCTCTGCTGGCACCCTAGGCTCTCGGACTGCAATAAAGAGAACACACTGCACAGCTACAGCACCCAGAAGGGCTCCCTGAAGGTGGGGGAGCAGCGTGCGGGCTCTGAGGTCATCAGTCGGGGCAGCCCTCGGAAGGCAGATGGACAGCGGCCATCCCTGGACTACGTGGAGCTCTCCCCACTGTCTCAGGGCTCCCCACAGCGGGCCCGCACCCCAGCTCGCACTCTTGACCGCCCAGCCAAGCAGGAGGAGTTGGAACGGGACCTGGCCCATCGCTCTGAGGAGCGACGCAAATGGTTTGAGGCCGTGGACAGCAGGGCCACAGAGACACCTGCTGGCGAGGGGCCACGCCGGGGCCTGGGCGCCCCCCTGACCGAGGACCAGCAGAGTCGGCTCAGCGAGGAGATCGAGAAGAAGTGGCAGGAGCTGGAGAAACTGCCCCTGCGGGAGAACAAGCGGGTGCCTCTCACCGCCCTGCTCAACCAAAGCCGCGGGGAGCGCCGGGGGCCCCCTAGTGACAGCCATGAGGCACTGGAGAAGGAGGTAGACATCATGGCTGGCCTCTGGGAACCCTCTTACCCCACCAACACCCCTCCTATCCCTATAGTCATGCTACAGCATGTATCATGCATACCTACAGTGATGGGGAGCTCACTCCTGGTCCACTGTCTGACACCTCAGACTTCTTTGTGAACTGGAATCTTCTTTTCTAGACCTTGGGTTTTTTATTGTTTTTAAGAAGCATTTTTATTGAGTTTTAGAGAAGGGAAGGAGGGAGGGAGGAAGGGAGAGAGAGAAACATCGATGTGAAAGCAGAATATCAATCTACTGCCTTCTGCACACGCCTCACTGGGGATCAAGCCTGCAACCTGGCTTGTGCCCTGGCCAGTAATCAAGCCGGAAACCCAGGACAATGTGCAACCAAATGAGCCACACAGGCCAGGGCTTTTTTTTGATATTTTTGCTTCTTAGTTCTGTCCTCAGCAATCACACAGAGGGAATAGAGAAGAAAAAGGAGAGACCATTTACTGAGCATCTTGCCCTTGGCCTTCTTTACATACAGAGGCTCATATATGTTCACAGCAGTCTCATGGTCCCATAGGGTAGATCTCATCACAGTTTTACTGATGGGAAGCTGAGGCTCAAAGACATTTCCCCTGTCACCTACATAATGTAAATGTCTGTGGCCACAGTGTTCTGTTCCCAACCCTGTCTAGTCTTCTCTGGGCCAAAGCTAGACACAGCTGGAATGTCCCCCTTGCCTGCACATCCCCACCAGGGCCACGTCTCCTCCAATCCACAGCTCCGCACTGCCTCGCGCCAGCCCTCTCTGCTTTCAGGCCCCCACTGACCTCATCTCCCTTCACAGGTCCTGTCTCTTCGTGCCCAGCTGGAGGCATGGCGTCTTCAGGGGGAGGCTCCTCAGGGTGCACCCAGGTCCCAGGAGGATGGTCACATCCCCCCAGGCTACATCTCACAGGTGAGGCTGAAGAGCTGCTTTGTGGGGGACGGGGGCAAGTATCTGGTTGCCATGTTTTCAGAAAAGAGCTAATATTTTGGAAGCCCTTCCTGTGTGCCAGAACCATGGGAGGCATTTGACATGCATTGTCTCAGTCTCTCCAGCGGTGGACATGAGCATTGTGCCGTTTTACAGACAAGGCCACTGAGCTGTGAGGTTATGTGACTTGCCCAAGGTCAGCTGGCCTGCAGCTGTCAGGGGATTTAAGCTCAGGTCCGGCTGATAGCCCTCATAAGACACTCTGCACTTGGACCACTTTCTTCACACCACCCTGGGGACATGGGGAGCCAATGGGGAGTGGGCGCTCCAATGGGCAGGCCCCTGGGAGGTGCTCCCTAAACAGGGAAATCCTGCCCATGCCTGCCAGGCTGAGGCCCTCATAAGATGGTCTTTGGGACTTGGGAGCCCCCAATGGCCCCTGGGGAACATGAGGACAGCAGTTCTCAACTGAGGCTGAATTTGTTCCCCTGGGGACATTTGGCCATGTCTGGGGACAACTAGCTCTCCAGAAAAAATACACCTATGTGTACACACTTGCACACTTATATATGGTATATCCTATATAATAAAAGGCTAATATGCAAATCGACCAAACAGTGGAATGACTGGTCACCATGACGCACACTGACCACCAGGGGGCAGACGCTCAACGCAGGAGCTGCCCCCTGGTGGTCAGTGCGCTCCCACAGGGGGAGCGCCACTCAGCCAGGAGCTGGGCTCACAGTTGGGGAGTGCAGAAGTGGTGACAGGAGCCTCTCCTGCCTCCGCAGCAGTGCTAAGGACCCTCGGGGGATGTCTGACTGCCGGCTTAGGCCCGCTCCCCAGAGGCCAGGCTCAGGGACCCCTCCCCGCCCCCACCCAGTGCACGAATGTTGTGCACTGGACCTCTAGTATAGATATAGATATAGATATAGATACAGATACAGATATAGATATAGATATATTACTGATACAAAGGATGTTTAGTATACAACTTACAAATAAAAAATGCGTAATACTTTTTATTGTAACTTCTATATAGCTAATTGATTTTTCTCATAATTCTTCCATTGGTTTTTCCGAATGCTTGTATCCAGAGGTAACTGACAAACGAGTGTTATTCTAACATGAATGTTGGTTGACATTTTATTTATGTGGATGAGTAAGACGAGAAACATATTGAAACTTTTCTTGGTCAATGTCATGAGCAATTTTTTTGGTTGAATTGGATAATAGTTCTCTATTGAGAATATTTTCTTAAGAGTATTCCCTCAGGTTTTTGTCCTACTTACAATGTAGTGGTTATAGGTATGGCACACTTTTAAATTTAATCTGCATTACTAGCATTTTCTCATCACTTGCTTAAGTCTAGACTATCAAAAAATAAACCAAGTCCTGATTTGTAATGTTTACCAATGTCCATGGTGTAAATACTCCCACTGTGGCTGAGGACCTGCAGTACTGAGGGTCGTTGAGAAGATATGTGCACACCCATTATAGAGCATTTCCACCACACAGACACAGAAGAGAAGTAACCTCGGGGGCATAGACAACAATAAAATGCAGTGAAATCATTACGAAGAGATGTTTGGAGTATCAGCTTTGTTTTTAATGTAATTAACTATAAGCTTACATAATTTTTAATAATGGCCTGCTTAACTGTGTCACAAAATTCCTAAAAGTTTGATAATCGGCTGCCTCTAGTCAGCACATCATTGCTTGAAGCAGAAAAGAATGCTGGGAACCCAGGCTCTGAGCAGAGGGTCCTTCCAGAAGTTCCAGGCGGGAGGTTGCTGTGCGGGGCTCTTGGGAAGCCTTTCCGGGGGTGGGCATGGAGCTGAGCACCGGGATGGGGCGGGGGCGTGGGCTGTGGTGGAAGGCTGATGGGTGCCTAGCCTGGAGACCTCTACTGCCAAGCCAGGAGTTTGGATCTTGTCCCACACACTGAGGAGGTTTGGGGTGATGCCGGGAAGGTGGTGTTGGAGTGGGAGGGTCTTGGGAGGGGCCAAGGCCATGGCAGGAGCTAGGATGATGACAGGGTGAGCGGGATGTAGGAGGGTACAGAGGGGGGAGAGTTTAGGACTGGGTGACTGGGCCCAAGGAAGGCAGAGGGGAGCCCCCAAGGGGCCCTAAGGCTGGGGTTGCTGTCAAGGCCTGGGGGCCCATCTGGAGCCGTGTGGTTCAGCTGAAGGAAGACCAGGGCCTGGGGAGTTGGGGCTTGACATGAAGGGCTAGCTTGGAGGTCACCTGATATGTGGAAGGAGGAGAGGGTAGGGACCAGTGTTGTCAAAGGCTCCCTTGAGGCAAGAGGAAGGGAGGGTGGGTGGGGGTCGGTGGGGGTGGGTGGGGGCAGGTGGGGCCCAACACCTCAGAGACCCCCACAAGCTGTGCTCTGTGGAGCTGTGGTCTCCCAGGGACTGCTTTTCTGGATGGGTCCGTCCACATCCACAGGGAGTCAGAGCAGCTCCGCCTTTGTCCATTTTACTATTAGAACCTGCATTAGATTTCCTTTGGGAAAAGGTTTCTGTCGCTAAAATTAAATTTGAAAAGCACTTCTCTGACGTCTCAGCATACAGATAGGGAAACTGAGGCCCAGAGAGGAGGCTAGAACTTTGACCTGGAGTCAGACTAGTGCTGCAGTCCAGGCCTCCTGGGCTGTCACACTTTGTCTTGTGAGGTTGGGATGGTAGGTGAGCAGGCAGAACTGAGGGGCGTTGAGAAGGGAATAAAGGGGAAACGGGGGGCAGAAGACGGGAGTGGAGGAGTGGCTCAGGACGCGGAGGGCGCCAGCGAAGAGGAGCTGAGCCACCTGTGTCCCCCCAGGCACTGGAGGAAGCGGCTGGAGATTCAGTGGACCCTGGAGAGGTGACAGCTGGGGAGGGATACTCCCCCAACCTGGTATCTCAGGCCGAGTGGGTGCCCCTCTTTTAGCTGGTGGGGCGGCTTGCCACCACAGGACAGCAGCTGGGGGGTCTGGGACTTCACAGGCTGTAGTGCCTCTAGCAAAGGGGACCCTTCCATCCTAGTGCAGTGGGGGATCACGGGCATTTCTTTGTCCACTTTGATCCACGTCAGAGGTGGGTAGCTGACGCCTTGGGCCCACAGGGAAGGTAGGTCAGAGAGCAGCCCCTGACCTGCTAGGGAGTCCCTCATCGTGGGCTGGTTCCACCACCTGACACCAGCCTCCTGACCCCCTATTAGCTTCTGGCTCTGCCTGCCGGACTGACCCTTTAAGAACAGATCCCCACCCCCCTATTTTTCTGATCTCTGCGGTG